GGGGTTATGGGGTCACAGCTGGTCCCCCAAGTACAGGGGCAAACACAGGATCAGGGGTCTCAACTGGCCCCCAAGTGTGGGGGGAAACACGGGGGTCACAGCTGGTCCCACAAGCACAGGGGGAGCGCGGGGAGTCCACCCTGACACCCCAAAACTCATCCCACGGCTGCACCTCTGATTTATCTGCCCTAAAACCATCCCAGCAGCGCCTCAAATCCCCCCCTCCCCCAGAACAAACAGGCTGGGGGGGCAGTTGGGGACCACGATTTGTCCCTTTGTCCTTGGTGTCGGGATCTCCAGGCGGGTGATGCCCTTTCCCAGCTCTGGAGGGTACCTGTGGGGAGCTCAGAGAGCGTCGGGATGTGACGGTGAGGCTTCGGCTCCCAGGGACGCCACAAAGGCCTCCACCTGCAAGGAGAATCCAGCTGAGAGGGGGGCACTGGGATGGTGCAGGGAATGGCACCAGGATGGCTGAGATTTAAACCAACTCGGACCCAGGGGATGGGAACAATTTTTCCCCAGGGAAATCAGAAGCAGAGGCTCTGGGGCCAGCACGGCTCCAAGCGGTGCTCCCAGCGCTCCAGGATGGCACCGGGATGGCACCAGGATGGCACTGGCTGTGCCGCCTCACCTGTGCCATGAGCACGCCCTGCACGGTCATGTCGTGCTCGAAGTCCCTCTCCACGTCCAGCACCAGGACGGGTGCGCGCTGCACGGCCCCAAAGTGGATCCTGGGGAGGGGAGGGGACACAGGAGGGGTTAAACCCCCTCAGGTAACAACCCCCAAATCAGGGGGTCACCCCTGCTGGATGAGGGGCACGGATCGGGACTCACTCCGTGGTCTTGTCCACCAGCCAGTGCTCGTGCTGGGCGTGCAGCTGCTCCAGGTATCCCAGCTGGATCCCCCCCTCCTCGCTCCGCGCCCGCCGCCGCAGCCGCGCCAGGCATGTCTGTGCCCGCCCGGGAAACAGGGACGACGAGAGACAGGGAGGATAACAGGACAGAGGGACAGAGGGGAGACATGGGAGGTTAACAGGATCCAGGAAAACAGGAGGTTAACGGGAGACATGGGAGGTTAACAGGAGAGAGAAGGGATGTGGGCATCAGGTAAAGCAGCACCATGGGAGGGACCCCTGAAGATGCTCAGCCCTCCCTTCCCAAAATCCATTCCAGAACACCGACACTGCCATGGGAGGGACCCCAGAAAACACTCAGCCCTCCCTCCCCAAAATCCAGCCTAGAAAACTCCACGTTTAAACTCCCACTGACACTCCCACAGGAGGGACCCCAGAAGATGCTGCAGTCCTCCCTCCCCAAAACCTGCTCCAGAATCCACAGCAAAACTCCCACCAACATTCCCATGGGAACAGAAGCAAGCCCTGCTCCTCCAGGGTGGCAATTTATGGCTAAACCCCAACATTTTGGGCAATTCCAGGTGCCTGCTGGGATATCCAGGCAGATCCGGACGCCTCCCACATCCCTGTTCCCACGGACACCCACCTGTGGGGTTGCCCTCAGGTACAGGAAGCCATGGAGGGTGGCACGAGGGCCCAGGTGCTGCAGCAGGAAGCAGTGCCAGTCCTGGTAAATGGCCCATTCCAGAGGATTCAGGTGCCCCACCTCAAAGAGGTTCTTGGCAAAGACGTACCTAGAAGGGACAGGGAGAGGGCACCGTTGGCAGCGGGGTCTCCGAGTCACCCCCACGCCCAGGAGGCTCCACAGGCATCCTTCCACCTTCTATCCACCAACCAGGAACTGCAGGTGACTCAGTTAAGGTGAAAATCCCTAATTTGGGGCTGGAATGTGCAGTGCCCGACACAGTTCAGCCCCACCGGGCTCGGCACCACCCACAGAGCTTCACGCTGCCACCAAACACAGGTGAGGGTGGGGTAGACGAGACACCAGACACAGATGGAGGATGGAACCCCCCCAAAAAATTATCCAGAGGATAAAGAAACCCCCACATGATCCAAGAATCACATTGCTTTCATTAAGCATCACTCTGGTGTCACCAGGGATGGGGGCTCTGCCCACCCCAGGGTGGTCCCAGGCTCCCAACCCAGCTGTTGTGGGTGCTCCACATCCCATTCAACCCCTCCATCCTTCTCCTCTCCTGTTCCTTGCGTACCTGTCACTGCCTGTCACTCTCCCCTCCCATTCTTTGGGTACCTGTCGCTGTACACGGAGCGCTCGAAGACCCTCACGGGGCTGGGGGTCCCGGGGGGCTCCTCCGGCAGCTCCAGCATCGCCTTCAGCCGGCTCATGCAGGAGAAGGTCTGGAAGGTGTAGGACCAGCGGGCCGGCTCCTGGTACATCATCTGCAGCAGGTTGGTGGAGCCCGTGGATTCCTGCAGAGGGATGAGGGTTGGGTGGCCCCTGCCAAGGGGTGGGAGTGGCTCTGGACCACCCAGGCTGTGTCAGGGCAGGGGGGGCCAGGGTAAACCACCCATTAACCCGGCCTTTGATCAGGAACTGCGGTGGAGTCGCCACCAGTGAAACTGTTTCTCTGGGCCACCTCCAGTTCCCTCTCCAAGTTAAGTTTGTGTTGAACAGAAAGGGAAGGAAAACTTGGGAGTGGTCAGCATGTCTCCTCGGAGCTCCCCCCCTAAAAGTATCCCACTGCACGTTAAAGATTTGGCAATTTACCACCAGGGAGAAAGCTGGGCTAGCAACTAGAGCCAGGGCTTTCAAAACCGCTTTGTTTTTCAGCCAGGGCAGAGGTGACACCTGCTGATGAGCAGGATCTCGGCCTTGGCTCTGGCTCCGGGCAGAACTGCCCAGGAACTGAGGGCCCCTCTGGAAATGTCCCCCTGGACTTGCTACAGGACACTCCAACACATCCACACCAGCATGTCTCTGCTCTGGGCATGAGAGCTGGAGGCAGAGAATCAACACCATGGGGGGCCCCAGGCTCAGCCCACCTCCCAAATCCTCCTGGGGGCACCCACAGTGTGGGGCTGGGATTTGGACCCACAGCTCCTGGCCCAGCTCAGGCCGAGGATTTGGGGAATTGAGGGGCTTTGGGACACCAAAAGCCCAAAAATGGGGGCGGAGAGAGAGAAAACCACAGGGAGAGGCATCTCCAAAGCACAGAATTCCAGGGATCCGGGGGAGCTGAGGCCGGGAGGAGGCGATGCACCAACCCAGGGCCCTTCCAGCGGTGCCAAATTCCCACCCCAGCTCCGGGGCATCCCCAGGGCGGAGCTCCCACACCCAGGTCCCCGGGGTGCCGGGATGGAGCCGGGGTGGAGCTGGAGCCGCTGTTACCTGGGCCGGCACCTTCTGCCACTGCGCCACGGGCTCTGTCACCAGGTGCCACCGCGGGAAGGTGGCTCCCAGCAGCTTCAGGAAGGTCGATTTGCCCACGGCTGCGGGAGGGGGGAGGACAGCGGGGTGAGCCTGGGTGTCCAGCCCTTCCTGGCTCCTGGGAATGTGGGGGGGAGTTCGGGTGTTCCTCTGTCCCAGCTCCCGGTAAGGCAGGGTGAGCCTGGGTGTTCCCCCATCCCGGCTCCTGGGAATGTGGGCTGAGCCTGGCGGGGGGGTCCCCTCACTCCAAATCCCAGGAACACGGCGTGGTCCTGGGTGTCCCCACCATTCAGGCTCCTGGGAATGCGGGGTGAGCCTGGGAGTCCCCCAGCACCGTGGGGTGAGCCTGGGTGTCCCCCCACCGCGGCTCCCAGCACCACGGGCTGAGCTTGGGTGTCCCCCCATCCTGCTCCTGGGAATGCGGGGTGAGCCTGGGTGTCCCCCAGCCCAGCTCCCGGGAAAAAACGGGATGAGCCTGGGGTGTCCCGCAGCTCCGAACCCCAGGACCTCGGGGTGAGCCGGGGGATCCCCTGTCCCTGCTCGCAGCAAACACGGGGGGTGCCTGAGCGTCTCCCCGCTCCAAATCCCAGGAACACGGGTGTCCCCCGTCCCCGCTCCCAGCAAACACAGCGTTCCCCCGCCGTCTCCCCGCAACGCGCGCAGCACTTTCCCACCCCCTTCCCCCCAGCAATTACAACTAATTACAGCCATTAACGCGCACCCCGGGACGCTCCTCCATCACACCCCAAATCCTCCCCTCCCCGTACCGATGTTCCCCTCCAGGGCCAGGCGCAGCCCGGCCCCGCACCGCCCCATCCCCGCCGCCGCTTCCGCCTCTCCCGCGTCACATGCTAATGACATGCTAATGAAATGCTAATGAGCGGCGCGCGCGACGTCACCGCGCGGGAAGTGGGCGGGGTGGGGAGGGGAGGGAAAATGGGAGGGAGGGAGAGGAAACTGCCGGGGGGGAGGATGGGAGGGGAAAGGGGAAGGAAACAGCCGCGGAAATAGGGAGAGGGAGGAAGGGGGTGTGTGTGGTATGGTAATTTATGTAAATGAGACCACGCCCGCCACAGGTACGGGCAATGGGGGAGAGGGTGGGGCACAAAAACGGGGGTGGGCGTAGCGCTATGGGGTCGGGGGCACCAACATGGGGGCAAGAGTATCATCAGGGGGTTGGGGGCACCAGCAAGGGGCCAAGGGTACTGACACAGGGTTGGAGTCACCTGCGTGGGGTTGGGGACATTTACGTGGGGCTGGGGGTCACCAACGTGGGGTTAAGGACGTCAGAGTGGAGCTGGGGTCACCAACATGGGCTTGGGGTCACCAACACGGGGTCAAGGGCATCAAGGCACTGGGTTGGAGTCACCAGGAAGGGGTTGGACTCACGTGCATGGGATCAAGGGCATCCACAGGGCGTTGGGGTCACCTCCATGAGGTCAAAGGCCTCAACGTGGTGTTGGAGGCATCAGTACAAGGCTGGGGACACCCAACATGGCACTGGGGGCACCAACATGGGGTCGAGGGCACTGACATGGGGTGGGGGCATCGAGGCAGAGTCAAGGCCATCAGCATGACCTCAGGGGCACCAACATGAGCTTGGGGGTCCCCAGCCCTCCCCTTGTTTCCCTCAGCTCCCCGTGACGCCCCTGTCACCCCGCACCCCCCAAATCTCCCAGAGAAGGGTCAGACCCTGGAGAAAAGGCTTTTTAATGCGCAGTGGGTGGGGGGGAGGAGCAGCAGGGGCTGAGGAGGAGGAGGAGTGGAGCCCCCCAGCCTGGGCAGGGGGGGCCACCACAGGGCGGGGAGGGGGCTTAGAAGCATTTTCGGTGGACGATGGAGGGTCCGGCCTCGTCGTACTCGGGTTTGCTGATCCACATCTGCTGGAAGGTGGAGAGGGACGCCAGGATGGAGCCGCCAATCCACACCGAGTACTTGCGCTCCGGGGGGGCGATGATCTGTGGGGACAGGAGACGTCAGGGTGCATCCCCAAATCCAACCCCCAAACCAGCACTGGGGGTTCATGGGATTCATGGGATCACTGAGGTTGGAAAAGACCTCTGGGATCATCAAGGCCAGACCTGTGACCCAACCCCACCTTGTCACCCAGCCCATGGCACTGATGCCACATCCAGGCTCTGCTCAAACCCCTCCAGGGATGGGGACTCCACCCCCTCCCTGGGCAGCCCCTTCCAGTGGCTGATCACTCTCTCTGGCAAGAACTCCTTCCCCATGTCCAACCTGAACCTCCCCTGGGGCAGCTCAAGGCTGTGCCCTCTTGTCCTGCTGCTGGTTCCTGGGAGCAGAGCCCGACCCCCCCGGCTCCCCCTCCTGTCAGGGAGTTGCAGAGAGTGAGAAGGTCCCCCCTGAGCCTCCTCCTGTCCAGGCTGAGCCCCCCCAGCTCCCTCAGCTGCTCCTCCCAGCACTTGTGCTCCAGCCCCTTCCCCAGCCTCGTTGCCCTTCTCTGGACACGCTGCAGCCCCTCAACATCCTCCCCAAACCGAGGGCCCAGAGCTGGGCACGGCACTTGAGGGGTGGCCTCCCCAGTGCCCAGTCCAGGGGCACAATCCCTGCCCTGCTCCTGCTGCCACCCTGTTCCTGAGCCAGGCCGGGATCCATCGGCCTCTCGCCCCCCTGGGCACCCCTGGCTCACGTTCAGCTGCTGTCAGTCAGTCCCCCAGGTCCCTTTCTGTCCCCCCACTCTGTCCCCAGCCCGTGGGGCTGCCGGGGGTTGTTGTGGCCGAAGGGGCAGGACCTGACCCTTGGCCTGGTTGAACCTCATCCCATTGTGTTGGTGGCCACCACAATTTGCCCTCCCACCCCCCAAGACCTACTTTGATCTTCATGGTGCTGGGGGCCAGCGCCGTGATCTCCTTCTGCATGCGGTCGGCGATGCCGGGGTACATGGTGGTGCCTCCCGACAGCACGTTGTTGGCGTAGAGGTCCTTGCGGATGTCGATGTCACACTTCATGATGGAGTTGTAGGTGGTCTCGTGGATCCCGGCCGACTCCATGCCTGGGCGTGGGAGGGGGCTGTGTCAGCACCCCGACCCCCCACGCCCCCAAAAGAGCCACTCGTGGGTTTGTCCCCCCAGTTGGGGCACAAAGCACCTGGGGGAGCCCCAAAACTCCTGCCACAGGAGCTGTTTGGGGTGGTGGGGATGTGGAGTGACCACCAGGAGAACTGGGAGGTGGGCTGTCCCCCAGGAGAACCGGGGGGTGGGCTCACCGATGAAGGAGGGCTGGAACAGGGTCTCGGGGCAGCGGAAGCGCTCGTTGCCGATGGTGATGACCTGCCCGTCGGGGAGCTCGTAGCTCTTCTCCAGCGAGGAGGAGGAGGCGGCCGTGGCCATCTCGTTCTCGAAGTCCAGGGCCACGTAGCAGAGCTTCTCCTTGATGTCCCTCACGATTTCCCGCTCGGCTGCAGGAGGTGACGGCCAGGGGGGCTCAACCCGGTGCTGCGGCGGCACCGCAGGGTCCCCGTGACCCCATAACTCCCTGCCCTGACCCCATAACCCCCCACCCTGACCCCATAACCCCTACCCTGACCCCATAACGCCCTGCCCTGACCCCGTACCGGTGGTGACGAAGGAGTAGCCCCTCTCAGTGAGGATCTTCATGAGGTAGTCGGTGAGGTCTCGCCCGGCCAGGTCCAGGCGCATGATGGCGTGGGGCAGCGCGTAGCCCTCGTAGATGGGCACGTTGTGGGTGACGCCGTCCCCGGAGTCCAGCACGATGCCTGGGGAGGGAAGGGAGGTGAGGGAGGGGGCTCCAAGGTGGTTTGGTGCCTTGCCCATCGTGTATAAATCCCAGGGAAAGGCGTGTCCGACTCACCGGTCGTGCGGCCGGAGGCGTAGAGGGAGAGGACGGCCTGGATGGCGACGTACATGGCGGGGACGTTGAAGGTTTCAAACATGATCTGGAGGAGAGAGAGAGGAGTTAAGGGGGAGCAGAGAGGTCCCCAGCACATCCCACTCCGACCCACGGAGGCTGTGCCTTCCCTGGGTCAGGGCCCTGCGTGGGAAAACACAGGGATGGTTGCGTTGCGTGGAAGAACAGGTGGGTGGTTGGGTTGCATGGACACGGGGGGCAGTGCATGGAACAGGACAAGTGGATCGTGGAAAACGCATGGAAAACACATGGGTGGGTGTGTGGTGGGAACATGAGTCACTGCGTTAGAGTCACATGGGGCTGTGCATGGCGTGGACAACACGTGGGGCAGCGCCTTGGGTGGCCAATCCCACGGGGCCACGCTCTGGAGACACCCCTGGGGCTACACAAGCAAGTGAACTTCCCACCGGGATATCTGCCCTCATCCCATACCACACTGCCCCCCACCCCACCTGCTCCTCCACTCCCACCAAACCCCAAACCTCCCCAGCCCTTCCTGCGGATTCCGAGGGTCCATCCCCGTCCCCCGGGGGTCCCTGAGCCCCTCACCTGCGTCATCTTCTCCCGGTTGGCCTTGGGGTTGAGGGGGGCCTCGGTGAGCAGGGTCGGGTGCTCCTCGGGGGCCACGCGCAGCTCGTTGTAGAAGGAGTGGTGCCAGATCTACGGCGGGCAAGCGACAATTGGGGCCTCCCCCGAGCTGGGGCTGGCGCCCTCTCCCCATCCCAGGGCTGGGAGGGGCGGGTCTCACCTTCTCCATGTCATCCCAGTTGGTGATGATGCCGTGCTCGATGGGGTACTTGAGCGTGAGGATGCCCCTCTTGCTCTGCGCCTCGTCGCCCACGTAGCTGTCCTTCTGCCCCATGCCCACCATGACGCCCTAACGCCAGCAGGGGAGACGAGGCCTCGGTAAGCTCATTGCAGGGCTCCAAGCAGGGTGGGGGGTGCCCCTCGATCCCCCCACCCCGGGTACCCACCTGGTGGCGGGGCCGGCCCACGATGGAGGGGAAGACGGCGCGGGGGGCGTCGTCGCCGGCAAAGCCGGCCTTGCAGAGGCCGGAGCCGTTGTCGCAGACCAGGGCGGTGGTTTCCTCCTCGCACATGGTGGGGCCGGGAGCGCTTGGTGCTCAGGGGGACCTGGGGAAAAGCTGGGGCCGGGGGGGAAGGGGAGAAACAGTGTTAAGGGAGGATGGGAGACGGGGTTATCCCATCCGGCACCGCATCCGGCTTTTGGGTTTGGAAGGGTTGGAGTCCTCGGGAAGGAAGGGCAGCCCCTCAAAGTTCTCTGTGGGGTGTGCCGAGGGCTGGGCACCCAGTCTGACCCCGCTGTGGGGTTGCTGGGAGTGGGGTCGATGCTCATTGGCCATGTGCTGCTCCACGCTGGTGCTGCTTCTCCGTCCTTCTCCAGGCGGTGCCCAAAATCCGTGCCAAAGCCCCCCTCGGGGAGCTCCAAGCCCAGCTGGTGCCCCCCAAAAGAGGGCAGAGGGGTGGCAGGTGATGCCCCCTCATCTGGTTCTGTCTCAGCAGCCTCCTGCTGCATCTGCTCCAAAAATGGGAAACAACGCAGCCCTTCCTGGGGCCTTTCCCCACCCTGCACTAGGGGATGCGCCCCCAAATCCAGAGGGAAGCAGCAAAAAAACCTCGCAGGAGCCCAGGAGGCAAAAACCCCCAAATCCCAAGGGTTTCTGGAAGAGCATAACCCGCTTCAGGCCACAGCCCAGAAAGCAAAAAAAAAAAAAATCCCAAATCCCAGGGATTTCTGGAAGAGCAGAACCCGCCTTGGCCGCAGCCCAGCCCTGGTCACCTCCAGGAAGCCCCCGGGGGGTTGGCACCCCCTCTGTGCTGTGCAAACCGAGGTAGGGCCACCCCATGAAGGCTGGGGCTCCCCAAAAACTCCCCTCCCACCCCCGGGGTGTTATTCCTTCCCCTCTCCTCCCAGGAGCTGGGAAGCAGGGCAGGGCAGGGCAGTACTCACCGCAGAGGCGAGAGCTCCTTTCCTCTGGGACCGAGCCCCGCTGCGCCCTGGGTATAAATACCAGCGAGCCCCAGGAACCTCAGAGGCGGATCCTCTCTAAACAAAGACCCTAAATAGGCTCACTGATGGTGTGTTGGCCATATGGCCATATAAGGTGTTTTATTTCATTAAATTGACCTCGGGCTGGTGGTAGGACCCGGCAGTTTAATTATTGTAGGAAAAATGTATGTGGGGATGCTTTGGGAGGCGACGGCCCCGTTGTGAGTCTGTTCCTTTTATGCTCCGCTCCGATAAACAAGTGAGACACAAGTCCTTATAAGTGACAGGCTCGGAAAAGGGAGGTGGAAGTAACTCCAGTTCCCGGGGAGAGCGTGGAGAAACCCCACCCGGGGGGGAGGTGGGTGTGGGGGCTCCGCCGTGGGGACACCCCGGAGCTGGGGTGGGAATTTGGCGCCGCTGGAAGGGCCCTGGGTCGGTGCATCGCCTCCTCCCGGCCTCAGCTCCCCCGGATCCCTGGAATTCCGTGCCTTGGAGATGCCTCTCCCTGCGGTTTTCTCTCTCTCCGCCCCCATTTTTGGGCTTTTGGTGTCCCAAAGCCCCTCAATTCCCCAAATCCTCAGCCTGAGCTGGGCCAGGAGTTGTGAGTCTGAATCCCAGCCCTGCACTGTGGGTGCCCCAGGAGGATTTGGGAGGTGGGCTGAGCCTGGATCCCCCACGGGGGCTCTGTGGGTGCCGTGCCCCGGCCCCCCTGCCCGGACACAGCCCGGGGGGGCCGCAGCCACCCCCAGCCCTTGGCAGCAGGAGCGGAGCCGCCGGGCCCTGGCCCTGGCAGAGGCCAACCAGCAGCTCCCAAACTCCTGCTGCCTTTTTAAGGGCAACGGGCCCGCACTGGGAGCTCTTTGGAGCGCCCAGGGGAGGCAGGAGAGGCGCTCAGGAACCCCCAGGAGCTCAGGGGGGCACACGGGAAAATGAGGCTCGGGATGCTCCCTGTGCTCAGGGACATCCCAGCACCGGAGCAGGGGAAGGAGCTGCAGGTCCCACCACCACCACCACGGGATCCAAAGGCCCTCCCTGCAGGGAGAACTCTGGGCTGTCACCCCGTGGGGCAGAGCAGGGACTCGGTGTCCCCCCAGAATTCCCAGCCTGTTCACACCTCCAGTGTCCCCCAGGATGGCTGTGCCCTGGAGGGAAGGAGCAGGCTCTGGGCTGTCACTCCGTGGAACACGGAGTCCCCCCAGCACTCCAGACTCTTCACACCTCTAACATTCCCCAGGGATGGCTCTGTCCTGGAAGGAGGGAGCACACCCAGGGCTGTCACTCCATGGGACACGGCGTCTCCCCTGCATTCCCGGCCTGTTCACACCTCCAGTGTCCCGCGGAGATGGCTCTGTCCTGGTTATTCCCTTTCCCCGGGAAATCTCAGGCTGGATTTGTCCCCTTGGCCATGCACTTGTTGTGCCCCCCACCCAAACCCTCAGCCCCGGGGTCCTTGTGCTGCCTCACATCCCACCCCGGATCCCTTTGGGACCTTGGCAGACACGAGGTCACCCAGGAGAAAGGCTGCCAAAAACAACCCCAAAAAACAAAACCACCTTACAAAAAATTAACCCCAACCCCAGCACTGGGGGTGGGAAAAGGGGCTGGACGGAGGCAGAGGCCGGAGGTGGGTGGGATAAACCCAAAACCTGAGAGACACCCGGAGCGTCAGCTCCCGACCCCGGTCCCACCGCTCCTCCCTGCCCGGGTTCCTGGGGACACGCAGGTGGGCTCCAGGCTGCCCATCCCGGCGGGATCCCCCCCGTGCCCGGCGGGGCTGGAGCGGGGCCGGCGGCAGCGCAAGCCCCGAGCGGGGCCCGAGGCGCAGCCTAAAAAGGCAACGTTTGGCCCCCGCAGCCAATGGAGCCGCCGGCGGGCCCGGGATGCTCTCAGGAACGCCAGGCATCCCGCGGGATGGACGAGCAGGGGGAAAAGCCTCGGCTTTGCCGCTGCGTTTCAAAACTCCCGGCGCTCGGTCCAGCCCCCGGCACCTCCCTCAGGGGAACGGGCACGCCTGGAAACTCCCGGGATGCTGCCGGGGATGGGCAAACCGGGGAGAAGAGGCACGATCAGAGGGATCCGGGTCTGTTCCCACCCTGAGGAGGAGATGAACATCACTCCCTGCCTGCGGGAACGCCCCAGACGCTCAGTTCACGTCGTTACAGACACTAAACCCTTCCTACAAAGTGTTTGGGGTCAGCCCTTGACAAATCCAACCCCGTTTTGGGTGTTTTTACGGTGGAACAGTGACATCTGGCACGGCTGGGGAGCCAGGGTGGGTTGGTGGGGCCAGGATATCGACACCCATCCCGACACACAAACTGATGGCTCAGGGACTCCAAGGGAAAAAACGTGATGGAAAAGCCAGGAGCTCAGGGAGCAGGGCTGGGAGTGGGGTGGGAGCTGAGCCCTGGCTGAATAACTGGGCCCTTCCTGCTCTGAGGAAGGTGGAATATTCCCTGTGAAGGTTTCTCTGTCACTGGGATGACACAGAAGTGCTGATGTGCCACCAGCTCCACTCTCTGGTGGGTGCTCAAGGCAGCTCAGACCCGACACCTGGAGGGAAGTGGAATTGGGATAAATTCCTTGGGATATTCCCCACCAAACTGAAGGAATTGCTGCTTGGAAAGATGGGATTTCCCACCTCGTGTCCCTGCAGTGCTCTGGGGGAGCTGCTCCGTGCTACGGGATGAACAATCCCACACCAAACAACCCCCTCCCGAGCACGGTTCAAATTAATTAGGTCTGAAAACGAGTTCCCACAGATGTCCTGAAGGGCCACCCCCCCCCCACCTCCCTGTTCCCAAAGCCGGCTTTGGAAAAGCTGGGAGCAGCCCTTTGTCACGCAGGAGCTGCTGCAAACACACCCCAGCCCCCACAAAAACAAACAGATCCCCCCCTGCCAAACCCCCCCGCCCCAACCCACCGGGGGAGCTCAAAGAAAACAAAGTGGCACGAGAGACCCAGCCCGGATAATCTGATCCACGTGTGTTCCCCGGGACACTGAGGGGTGTTGGATGCACAGGGACACAGGGACATGGATATTTTGGTGCCAGGTGGGGAGGCAGCTCCAGCCTCGCCCGTCCCTGCACTGCCATGTGCCGACCAGCCCTCCGCAGGCTGCGGGGTGTGGGTCACGCTCAGCCCCCGGGCCCAGCTGCCTCCCACCTTGGAATTCTGCTGCTTCCCACCCAGTGAGGGCGGAGGCTCAGCCTGGAGCGCAGGGGAAGGGAATTCTCTGCTTGGCACCCGACTAAAGCACCTCGGAGCAGGATCCGGCGGCACCGCACGGCAGCGACGTCACCCGGAGCTTGGGTTTGGCAAGGACGGCCTTCCAGCTGCTCTGGGAAGCTCAGAGGCAATCAGGCTGTGGGATCCTGGAGGATGGAAGTGGCCAGAGCAACTGGAATTCCATCTGGGAGCAGTGATGGCAGCTGGGACACCCAGTGCTCCTCCACGGTAACAACCACGGGCCGAGAGGATCCCAGAGCCAGGGAAGGGAACGACATCACCAGACACCCCTAAACACTGCTGGGATGGGGGGAGATTCTGCAAAGCTGTGCCCTGCCCAGGCACCTTCATCCCTGAAATGGGGATCCCAAAGGAGCTGAGTCCCCTCTCTCCCCAGGCAAAGATCCGAGTACCGGGAAGCAGGAGCGGCTCAGCTCAGCGGGGCTGAGCTCGTGAGAGGGGAGAGGGGTTGGGAGGGTTTCATCCTAAACTACAGGAAAGGTTAATCTGGGCAAGTCCCAAAAGCACTTGAAGAGGTTTCCACGCCTCGTGGTTGCAGCAAATCACGGGGAGCCTCCCCAGGAGGCCGTTCCAGCCACGGGTTAAGAGTGTTAAACAACTGCTTTAGTGTCGGCTCCTGCCTCGGGATTCCCAGCTGGCTTTTCCCCACACCTTGGACCTCAGCAGGCTCCAGGCACCCTCCACGTGCTCCCAAGGAGGTCAGGGATGTGATTCATTCAGGGGTGGGAATCATCTGCTACGGGAGGGAGCAAACCAATCCCTAAGGCTGAGAGGAAGGCGGGAGGTTCCTGTGAGCGGATAAGGCAGGAGGCTTTATCGGAGATCCATCAGCACAACGTCCCTCTCCACCACTGACACGTGACTGCAGGTCTGGGAGAGACAAAGAGAGGGGGACAGGGGGTTACTCAGATGTTCCCAGAGCTCAGGTGACACGACCTGCAGCCGGAGTCCTTCCCAGAACAGCCCTTGGAGCCGTTCCTTGGATCACACAGCGGGACACAGACACAGATCCCTCTCCCAAACACACCCCTCTGTGCTGCCTTGCCCTGTTCCTGCAGGGAGGAGCTCCCCATCACTCCTCCAACCCCTGTAAAACGCTGGGAAGCTCCTTCACCTCCACCCTGGGAATCGCAGAGCAGCCCCTGCCAGGCTGAGCCTCCTCCCCTCCACAGGGATTTAACTCCAGAGAAGGGTCCAGCACACCAAATACCCACCCCACAGACCCAGTGGCTGAGGGGGGACTCACCGTGAAGAGAGGGGGGTCTTTGGGGTGAGGGTGGAAGCCTTTCTGGCGGCAGGACGAGATCTCCTCCAGGCCATGCTCTGTCAGCCGGAAAAACCCCGTCCTGGGCAAGGGAACACACACAGGAGCACAGGGAGCTGCTGTGGCTCCCCCTCTGCAGCCCCTGCAGGGACAGCCACGTCCTCTGGGCCTCACAGAGCACCTTTTGGGGCAGCTCATCTCAGGCAGGGGCAGAGATTGAGGTCCCCCTCTGTGTGGGACACCTCCTCCCGGGAAAGACCCCCTTTCTGGGACACTTCCTGCTTCCTGGGACACTCCTCCTCCTGGAACACCCCTCTTCCCAGCCCCAGGGCTGCAGATCACCCTCCTGTCTCAGGTGGGCAACAAGTGTCCAGACACAACCCCCTGATCCTGATCCTGATCCAGCCCAGGGGAGCTGTGGAGTCCCACGTGTGGGAAGGCTGTGGTCAAACAGCCCAGGCAGCAGAGGGAAAGGCCTTCCCCACCCCACATCCCGGTGTCCATCCCCACTCCTGGTGTCCATCCCCACTCCTGGGTGTCCATCCCCACTCCTGGTGTCCATCCCCACTCCTGGTGTCCATCCCCACTCCTGGTGTCCATCCCCACTCCTGGGTGTCCATCCCCACTCCTGGTGTCCATCCCCCACTCCTGGTGTCCATCCCCCACTCCTGGTGTCCATCCCCCACTCCTGGTGTCCATCCCCACTCCTGGTGTCCATCCCCACTCCTGGTGTCCATCCCCACTCCTGGTGTCCATCCCCACTCCTGGGTGTCCACACTCACTCCTGGGTGTCCATCCCCACTCCTGGGTGTCCATCCCCACTCCTGGGTGTCCATCCCCCACTCCTGGGTGTCCATCCCCACTCCTGGTGTCCACACTCACTCCTGGTGTCCACACTCACTCCTGGTGTCCATCCCCACTCCTGGTGTCCATCCCCACTCCTGGGTGTCCACACTCACTCCTAGGTGTCCATCCCCACTCCTGGGTGTCCACACTCACTCCTGGTGTCCACACTCACTCCTGGTGTCCATCCCCACTCCTGGTGTCCATCCCCACTCCTGGTGTCCATCCCCACTCCTGGGTGTCCACACTCACTCCTGGTGTCCATCCCCCACTCCTGGGTGTCCATCCCCACTCCTGGTGTCCATCCCCACTCCTGGGTGTCCATCCCCACTCCTGGTGTCCATCCCCACTCCTGGTGTCCATCCCCACTCCTGGGTGTCCACACTCACTCCTGGGTGTCCATCCCCACTCCTGGGTGTCCACACTCACTCCTGGGTGTCCATCCCCCACTCCTGGTGTCCATCCCCACTCCTGGTGTCCATCCCCACTCCTGGGTGTCACACTCCTCCTGGTGTCCATCCCCACTCCTGGTGTCCATCCCCACTCCTGGTGTCCATCCCCCACTCCTGGGTGTCCATCCCCACTCCTGGGTGTCCATCCCCACTCCTGGTGTCCATCCCCACTCCTGGTGTCCACACTCACTCCTGGGTGTCCACACTCACTCCTGGTGTCCATCCCCACTCCTGGGTGTCCACACTCACTCCTGGTGTCCATCCCCACTCCTGGGTGTCCACACTCACTCCTGGTGTCCATCCCCACTCCTGGGTGTCCATCCCCACTCCTGGGTGTCCATCCCCACTCCTGGGTGTCCATACTCACTCCTGGTACTTGGGAGAGCAGACGATGGCGATGGACTCCGGCAGCATCATCTGGTAGGAGCAGTGGGTGTGCAGGTCCACACTGGACAGGAAGGCTGTCTGGGTGGGATGGGTCTGGAACAGGCAGCACGTGCACAGGAGTCACGGCAGGATTGGGAAAATGGTTCCAAGGGATTGTGTCTGCCAAGGGAAGGCTGTACCAGAGGAGAAACAGCCCCTGGGATGGCACAGGGGACGCACTGGGAGGGGTTGTGCAGAATCCCAGAATGGTTTGGGTTGGGAGTGACCCTGAAGGTCATTCCATTCTACCCAGGGACACCTTCCACCAGCCCAGGTTGCTCCAAGCCCCATCCAACCTGGCCTTGGACACTTCCAGGGATCCAGGGGAAGCCTCAGCTTCTCTGGGAATTCCATCCCAGCCTCTCTCCATCCTCACAGGAGAGAATTCCTTCCCAATATCCCATCCACCCCTGCCCTGTGGCAGTGGGAAGCCATTCCCCCTTGTCCCATCACATCATTCCACGCTCTTGTCAAAATTTCCTCTCCAGCTCTCTTGTAGCTCCCCCTTTTTTTGGACTGCCCTAAAACACCAGCTCCTCTTCTCCATTTGAAGTACCAAAGGAGCTCTCCATTCCTGCCACATCTCATCAAAAAGTCCCACTTTTAGGCCCAATTCCTTGCAGGGGAATTCACACCTTTCTCAAGCACAGCAGGACCAGCACACCCCATCCTGCCCTGGCACTTCAGGATATCCCATTCCAGAGGGCTGGATGATCCCTGGCAGCCACCACCTCGCCCAGCTCCTGCCCACTTTAAGCTGGGTTTCCCACCTAAACCCCGGCTGGCAGCTCCAGGTTTTTGTGTTGCCAAGGCCAGCAGAAGGGGCACAGGAATTCCAGAGGGTCCCTGGGTGTGGCAGGGCTGGCAGGGCAGAGCTCCCCCCTCAGGGATCAGCCACATTCCCCTGCCCCAGGCTGGGAGGCAGCAGCTGCTTTCGAGAGATTACTCAGCAGCTCCAAACGTTTTCCTTGGCACAGATCCGACTGCCGAGGGCTCCGTGGGGACAGCAGGGAACTGCTGCAGCCAGGGAGGAATCTGCAGCTGGCACAGCTGCCTCAAACAGCAGCACCACTCCAGGGACACAGCATGGCAGAGGTGTCCCTGCAGCAGGAGGGCTGGGGATGCCCCGGCGGGGCCTCTGGAGTTGGATTTTAGCTGGAGGAAACTTGAGTGGCGTGTCCAGGATCCCACTTGCACAGATCCAGACTGGTTTGGGCTGGAAGGGATCTTAAAGATCACACAGTTCCATCCCCTTCCACTAGATCAGGGTGCTCCAACCTGGCCTTGGACAATCCTAGGGATGGGGCAGCCACAGCTTTTCTGGGCAACCTGTGCCAGGGCCTCCCCACCCTCCCAGGGAAGAATCCCTTCCCAATATCCCATCTACCCCTGCCCTCTGGCAGTGGGAAGCCATTCCCTGTGTCCTGTCCCTCCATCCCTTGTCCCAAGTCCCTCTCCAGCTCTTGGAGCCCCTTCAGGCCCTGGAAAGGGCTCTAAGGCCATCTAACCCTGCCCTCTCTCCTTTCCAAAGGGCCTGATGCTTTGGGAAGAGACTCAAATGTGAAAACAGGCCAGGATTTCTCCAGCAGAGAAGTGAATGAGACTGTACCAGAGGGAGAAACCCCACTAGGGAGAGAAATCAAACCAGAGGGAGAAATCCAGCTGGGGTGGGGGAGAAACTCAACCCGAGGGAGAAACCAAACCAGAGGTGAGAAACCCACCCAGGGGCTGCTGCCCAGCCCACACTCCACATCTCCTCCCATAACTCCTGCTCCCCCAGCCCTTTCCCTGCAGGCTGCAGGCAGGGGCAGGAGGCACTCACGTGGATCCAGCCCAGGGTGACGAGGCCATGCTGGTCCTGGATCAGGAACAGCTCCTCCTCGCTCTCCGTGTTGCAGTAGTCGGGGCCCCCGTGCTGCTTGGGCACGATCACGTGGGTGATGGTGAACTCGTTCCTCATCTGCAGGGCAGGGGCAGCACAGGGGGATCAGAGGGAGCACAGGCACCCCCAGACAGCAGGAAACAAGGAGCAGACGGAATTCCCTAAGATTTGGGAACTTCTCCCCAACAAGCTCGTGCACCACTCCAGTCACTGACAAAGGAGCTGCGGGGTTTTCTCCCTATTTCATTTTCCCTGCTGTGCAGAGCACCCAACAACAGCTCAGAGGACACCCACTGAAGCAAACTCAAGATGATGCCTCATCCCTAAACAATCCCCAGTGTCTGGAAGCAGCTGGATGGCAGGAAGTTGCTACATCAAACAGCTCCATTTCAAAGCAAACCCCTGCGAGTGACTCAGGGCTGGAGCTGCCAACAAAACCCGCACACGCAAAGTCCTGGGGGAGAACAGTGTCCTGTTGAAATCACCAGCTGGGACACCCCAGTCCTGCTGGCACCCAAAGGACAAGTCCCTGGAGCTCCTGTCCCCAGGACTGCCCCCAGTGCTTGTGGCAGGCACACAGAGTCAGCAGCAGCAGAGAGGAAGCGGAGCGGGCGCTCTGGTTGGCACTGAGTGCCAGGGTGAGGGAAATCCTGACCTAAAAACCTGGAAAGGGAGAGGCCAGATCCTCCCTAACGCTCCCAGGGAAGCCTGAAGCTGCACTAGAGAATTCCAGGACAAAGATCAGGCTCCTGCAGCCGTCTCCAAAGCGCTGGTGCTGTGACAAACGACCCCCTGTGCCACTCCCAAAGTCTCCTGATGGATTTGTCCCCCCTTACCAGCTTCCCACAGAGGATCCCACAGGTCTCCACACCCCGCACCGTGTTGGCATCAGCCAGCTGGAGGAATTTGTGGCACAGCTCCCTGGGGACAATGACCTGGCGAAGGACATCCACTGCTGCACCTGCGGGGAACAGGAGAGCTCAGAGACACCGGCCAGGGGTGGGGAAAGGGGGGGTGGAAATGGTCCCTCAGGGCAGCCCCAAAAAGGGATGAGGCTGCAAAAAATCCACCTGGAAGGGTTGACTGCTCTGGCTCTGCCCCTGCAGTGGCACCAAGAGATAAACGTGTCGCTGGGACACGGATAAAGGACAGGCAGCCCCTCCTTCAGAACAGAGGGGAAGAATCCTTCAGCAGGGTGTCAGAAAGGAATCCTTTGTTTGTTAGTAAAAATGAAAGCACACACACTCCCAGGAGGTCATTTAAGGTAGGATGTGTCAGTGGGCAAGAACCAGTCACTGGACGTGTCTGGATGAGTATTTTGGAGCCGTGTTTGGCAGGGTTTGGTCAGGAGGAGGATTCAATCATCCCAGCCAGGAATTCAACCCAAATGTCCAAGAAGTGCTTGGATCAAGGAAAAGCAGATAGGCTGCAGAGTGTGGAACAGCAGGAAGACTGGGCTGGAAAAGCATGGAGGGTGCATTCCCAAGAGGAGACAGTTCTGACAGTTCCCCCAGGCCCTCCAAACCTTGACTGAACAACAGGGACAACATCCAGTGACTTGGAAGAGCAACCCCCCAGAAGGGATGGAGCCACGAGCAGGTAATTCCAAGAGCCTCCCAGACAAACTGGCCACGTTTGGCTCAGCCCCAGCAAGGGACAGGGATGCTCCCAGAGGTACTAACTGGTTTCTGTGCTCCCCAGAGCACTGGGCTTCAAAGATCTGTCCACAACGGGAGGTCTGGGTGGGACAGTCCCCGCTGAGGGACTTGCTGGGTGAGCTGAAGACACTGGAACCTTTGGGGTTAAATCAGTGGGTGGCTTTTCCACTCCAGGGATGAGGGGTCCATCCAGAGACTCCGGCTCTGGCTTCCCAAACTCCTGCACTATCCTCAGGCGTTCCTTCTCCAGCTCCTGCCGCCGGATCATCTCCTCGAAGGCGTGGAACTGCTCCTGCTCCGCCTGCTGCTGCTTCATCAGGGCCACACGGCTCTTCTCCTGCTCCAGCTGCTGCTGCAAAGCCAAAGGGGGTGCAAATTACTCTTCCTCCTCCTTCCCTAAGGAGAAATATCCCGAGGGATCTGATCAGAGATGGGAACACGGGGGCCTCTGTGCCGCAGACCCCCAGCAGTCCCGGGCTGCTTCAGAGGGGTCTGCAAAGAGCATTCCCTGCAGGAAGCTTCAGCTTGCAGAGATCCACACTTCCATCAGCAGAGACCAGGGCAGTAAAACCTCTGCCTTACCCCTCCCTCTTCCACAGAAACACAACTCCAGAGGGTTGTTTTCCCTCTATCCCGTCCCCCAAATCCCACTCGTCCGCAGCAAAACCCACCCCGGAGGTTTCTGCTCTGCCCACACAAGCCCCCATCCAACAAAACCTGGATTTCGTGCTGGGACAAAAGAGAATTAACCAACCAAACAGCCCCAGCTCTTCCAGCTGCACAAGGAAGAGAGACTCAGATCCACCTGCAGCGGCAGCCCTGTGCTGCAGGGGGGGATCCCCACACACACCGGCCATTCCCCAGCACCCAGGGAGCCCTGGAGAGCCCTCTCCCAAACCCTTGGTGGCTGAGGGTCTCCTGGGGGAGACCCTGGAGCAGACAGGCCTCCAGTCTGCTCTCACTCACCTCCTGCTCCTTGTACTTAGCATAGTCCTGGGCGTACCTCTTTAGCAGCTCCTCCTTGAGCTCTTCCGCTCTGGGAAAGGCTACTTCCTTCAGCTTCTGGGGGAGGAACACAGGGAGAAATCAGAGTGGCAACAAAACCGGCCCTGAGCAGCTGCAGGGAGCCCAAAACCACCCCCAAAATCACAAACCATAACTCAGAGAATCATGGAATTGTTTAGGAGGAAAATACCTCCAAGGTCATCAAGTCCAACCTTTCCCCCTGCACTGCCATGTCCATCACTAATCCATGTCCCCAGGGGCCACATCCAAGTGCTTTACACACTTCCAGGGATGCTGATTCAGCTGCTGCCTTGGGTAGGATGTGCCAGGGCTGGACAATATTTTTGGGGAAGGAATTTTCCCAATATCCAACCTAAATATTCTGTGGCACAGCCAGAGGCCATTCCCTCTCCTCCTGTCCCTGTTCCCTGGGAGTAGAGCCCAACATACCCCCATTTCCCCCTCCTGTCAGGGATTGCAGAGCCAGAAGGTCCCCCCTGAGCCTCCTTTTCTCCAGGCTGAGCCCCCCCAGCTCCCTCAGCTGCTCCTGCTGCTCCAGCCCCTTCCCTGGCCACGCTCCAGCCCCTCCATGTCCGTCTTGGAGAGGAGCCCAGAACTGAACTCCCAGGGGTCAGGACTGCCCGGCCATGCCACAGCTTCCCAGTGTTTGTGTGGATCCCTCATCCCAGAGCCATGAACACCCCAGGTCGGTGATTGCCAGGACGTTTCCCTTCAGGACCTGGCGATGTCCCCACTCACTCTGACCGTCTCCCTCTTCTCGGGAATGACGGCGGTTTTGTAGTCGCGGTGCTGCGGCAGCTTCTCGATGAAGAGCCTGGAAAAAGGGGGCACAAACTGCACTTTGGGATCGTGGCAGGAAGGGACAGACACAAAGAGAGTCGGTGGCACTTTGGGGGTGCAGATCCCTGGGTCCTGGGCTGCCCATCAGGACAGTGTTCCTGCAGGAAAACCTCCACCAGCCCTCGGAGCACACAGACCTCGTTCCGTCCCACGGGAGCACCTCACACGGGCTGTGATTCCACCTGGGCTCTGCAGATGACCCTCAGGGACAAACACCCTCGTTTTGAACAGAATCATTAACAAGCTGGCCTGAAGCACCAAGGGCACAGCAGTGATGCAGGAGGCGCTCGGGCACCTGCCAGAGCATCCCAAGATTTCAGTCCCTCGGCTGGCTCAGGGCTCACTGTCCTTCTGTCCTGGCATTCCAGCCTGGGGAGCAGTTCCTGTGCTGGCTTTGGGGAGGGAAATCACAATATCAGCCCACTCCCAGCATGGGAGCAGGGAACACTGTGGCTCCTCTACAGATGGGATAACTGTTTATGCCCTCATAGAATCCCACACTGGGTTGGGTTGGGAGGGACCTCAAAGCCCATGCAGTTCCACCCCCTGCCGTGGGCAGGGACACCTTCCACTGTCCCAGGTTGCTCCAACCTGGCCTTGGACACTTCCAGGGATGGGGCAGCCACAGCTTCTCTGGGAATTCCATCCCAGCCTCTCCCCACCCTCATAGGGAGGAATTCCTTTGCAATATCCAGCCCAAATCTTTCCTGTTCCCCCTTATCCTATGACTGTCTGCCCATGTGAAAAATCCCTCTCCCTCTTTTTCACAAGCCTCCTTTAAGTCCTGGAGGGCCACAATGAGGTCCTTCCATGGAGCTCTGCAGGAAATGAAGGTGAAGATGCAGAGGGAGTTGTGCAGGCACTAAAGCCAGGGGGGAAAGCCCACAAACACAGGGCAGCTCCCTCTGGCTCAGGTGTGGGACACTCTGAGTTACCCTGTGGCCAAGTCCCCAGGGGTGACAGGGGGCTCAGGCTGAGCTCAGGCCGGGCTTAGCTGGGCCCCTGCCTCCTGCAAGTGGAGCTGTGCTGGCTCTGGGCATCCACAAAGCTCTGGGATTAACCCCAAATCCCCCTCCTCCCTGGCTCTTTGCCACACAGCTCCAGCACCCAAAGGATACTCCAGCTCCAGAGAGCGGCCCCGTTCCCAGGCACAAGGAGTAAAGGAATGAGAGGACTGGACTGTGCCCCAGGGAGCAGCACAACCCAAGCAGAGCCAAGAGGGAAAATCTCAGCAGGGACAGAGACCCTTCACTCTGAGAAACCCCTGTGTGTGTGTGCAGCAAACAACCCCAGCTGCTCCAAACCCTCCGTCCTCGGGGAGAAGGAAAGGACTTTTTGCCACCCTGAAGGCTCCTGGTTGCCCAGGGAGAGGGTGAGGACGGCAGGATCAGCAGCCATGGAGCCCCAGGGACCCCCTGGATCCAGCCCAAAGCCCCAGCAAGGTCCCTGCTCCCAGCTGGGGGTGTGAATTAGGTCACTGTGCCGAGGAGACACAACAAGGCCCCGAGCGAGCACTGCCAGCAGCTTGTGGATTAAAATGGAAGGGATTAATTAGGGAGGATTAAGAGCAGATGCTGGGCCTGGGGAGGATGGAAAAACCAGCGGGGACAGCTGGGTTTCCACAAGTCAGGAAGTGGGGGGAAAAAAGCAGGCGGGAGGAGGAGAGGAGGGGAAAATTTGGGGGCGGGAACAGCCCACATCTCCTATCAACAGCCCCACTGAGGTCTGGCAGGACCAGAACCTGCAGCTCCCACCTGCAGGAGCTTTGGGCTTGTTCAAACCCCTGCTGCTCCCCAGCCCAGTGCAGCAGTAGCTGTTTGGCACCCAGCAGCCCCAGCCCAGGCTATTTTTAAGCCCAGCTCTGGAGCACAGGCCAAGCTGGCGGCTCCCAAATCCCTGTGACACCCTCCCTTGAGCTGATCCCAGCAGCACCAAACCAGGGAGCCCAAGCACCTCACAAAAGTTGTGGCTTGTTGCTTTTTCCTTTCATGTTTGGCTCTGCCAAAAATCAACCCGAGTGTTCCTGGCGGGGATCCAAGGAAAACAACCCCTCAGATCAGCGGAAAAGGAGCTGCTCGGGATGGCAGGCAAGGAAAGGCTTATCAGGTGATGAGATATGGGTTAAAATCCAGCCTGGTTATTCCTAGAGATAGCCATGGAATCATGGAATGGGTTGGGTTGGAAGGGACCTTAAAACTCATCCAGTTCCCACCCCCTGCCATGGGCAGGGACACCTTTCATAGACCAGGTTGCTCCAGCCTGGCCTTGGACACTTCCAGGGATCCAGGGGCTCCTCTGGGAATTCCAGCCCAGCCCCTCAACACCCTCACAGCCAACAATTCCTTCCCCATATCCCATCTAGCCCTGCCCTCTGGCAGTGGGAAGCCATTCCCTGTGTCCTGTGCCTCCATCCCTTGTCCCAAATCCCTCTCCAGCTCTCCCGGAGCCCCTTTAGGCCCTGCAAGGGGCTCTCAGGTCTCCCTGGATCCTTCCCTTCTCCAGGATAACACCCCAGCTCTCCCAGCCTGGTGCCATTCCTGGGAAAGGGAGAGCAGAGCAAGCCCACGAGAGGCTCCATTTCCCAGTGGATCAGGACATGCACAGGTTTCCCACCCTGGGCTGAAAATTCCAGGGAAAACTGCTGGAAAGAGCCACCCCAGCACCTCTCAGAGCCACAGGGAATCAGCCAAGGTGCTTTCAGTTTGTTTAGTTAAAAAGTTCCTCCTCCAGCTCCCAGCTGCGTAACCAGCCTGGAAACCTTCCCGAGGGTGTTTTACACTTCCCAGCTCCCTGTGCAGCCTCCCAGGGCCCTGCTCCCATGCCCATAAAAGCTCAGGAAGTGCAAGGCGGGAAGAAAAGCCTAATCAGGGAAAAATGTGTTGGATTTTCAAGGGGCAGGAACCTGCACAAGGGGCAGGGGAGGGGGGGAAATGCCCACGGAGGTGCCACCCGTGTTCTGGGTAAAGCAGGTGGTGTGGGCACAGCACAGACCTCACCAGGGGCACTGTGGGGAGGTGGGAAGGGCAGGATTTTTCCCCAAAAAAACTACAGGAAGAGGCCACTGTGACAGTGGGGGATTTTCTGAGGATGACAGTTTTCAGCCCTTCAAACACCAACAGGGCATTTGAGGGAGGGAATTATAATCCTTCTGAAATGTAAAAAACAGCTCTGAAATGTAAAAAGAAATCTCCAGCTGGTCCCTGCCCCTGAAGAAGGGACTCACTCAGGCTGTAGTAACTGAGAGTAGAACAGGCTTTGCAGGTGGTTTATTGGAGAAACCACCACCCAACCTCAATCCTTCCCAGGATACGGGATACTGATATCCCTGGGGATGGATCCCTGCCAATCCATATGATGTCACAACCCAGCCAGTGAAAAAACAAGGCCAATTTAGCCCCTCTGTGGTGATAAAACACCCTGAAGCTTTGACTTACAGGTGGACAGAGTGAACCACAACAAGTTCCACCTCGACAGGAGGAAGAACTTCCTTCCATGGAGGTGGCAGAGCCTGGAACAACTGCCCAGGGAGGGTGTGGAGTCTCCCTCTCTGGAGATATCTCAAACCCCTCTGGACATGTCCCTGTGTCACCTGCTCCAGGTGGGTTGGGGTTTGCACTGGGTGATCTCCAGAGGTCCCTTCCACCCCTAACAATTCTGGGATTCTGGGTTCTCTCAGCTGAGTTTGTGGGTTTTTACTTCACACTTCTATGACCCTGCCTGGCCAGTCCACCCCAAACCCCAGAGTTCCCTTCCCCCCCTAACAACTGTGGGATTCTGGGAACTTTTCCAGGTCAGCTGCATCTGTGGGTTTGTGTCTCACACCTTCAGACACACATCTCACCTCACATCTGACCCCCCAAAAGAGCCCCACCCACCCTGCCTACCCATCCCAAAACGCCTCCCTGCTCAGCCCAGAGCTCAGCCCAGAGCCCCAAAACCCAGCCCAGAGCCCCAAATCCAACCCAGAGCCCAACCCAGAGCACAGAGCCCAACCCAGAGCACAGAGCCCAACCCAGAGCCCAATCCAGCCCAGAGCCCAAAACCCAGCCCAGAGCCCCAAATCCAGCCCAGAGCCCCAAAACCCAGCCCAGAGCCCAACCCAGGGCCCAAAATCCCAGAGCCCAACCCAGGGCCCAAAATCCAGCCCAACCCAGAGCTCAGCCCAGAGCCCAATCCAGCCCAGAGCCCAGCCCAGAGCCCAAAACCCAGCTCAGAGCCCCAAACCCAGCCCAGAGCCCAGCCCAGCCCAGCCCAGAGCCCAACCCAGGGCCCAAAACCCAGCCCAGAGCCCCAAAACCCAGCCCAGATCCCAGAGCCCAGCCCAAAGCCCAAAATCCAGCCCAGAGCCCAAAACCCAGCCCAGAGCCCAAAACCCAGCCCAGCCTCAGCCCAAGCCCAGCCAGCCCAGAGCCCAACCCAGGGCCCCAAGAAACCCAAGCCCAGAGCCCCAAAGCCCATCCCAGAGCCCCAAAACCCATCCCAGAGCCCCAAAACCCAGCCCAGAGCCCCAAACCCAGCCCAGAGTCCAAAACCCATCCCAGAGCCCCCAAACCCATCCCATCCCATCCCAGCCACTCTTACGTGATGTACTTGTTGTAGAGGATGAAGGCGTGCTCGGCGTTGCCCTCCTCCGCGTACACCGCCGCCATGCGCAGCATCTCCACCCCCGAGCGGTAGTAGCGGCGCGGGGGGATGTCCTCGCTCACCTCCACGCTGCTTCCCGCCTGGATCAGCCTCCTCACGCGCTCCTCCGGCGGGAGCCCCGGCATGGTCACACACATGGAGCGCAGCCCTGCGGGGCGGGAGGGACCGGCATGGACCCGCATGGACCGGCAGGGACCGGGAGGGACCGGCAGGGACCGGGAGGGACCGGCAGGGACGGGGAGGGACCGGGAGGGACCGGGCACTGGCACCGGGGAGGGACGCGCGGGATCCACCGGACAGGACACACCCGCCCCCTGCCACGGCACAGGCACCCCGACCACCCCACGGACATCCCAACACTCCCAAAGACACCCCAACCATCCCACAGACACCCCAATAATCCCAGACACCTCGACTATTCCAGACACCCCGACTACCCCACAGACACAGCAACAATCCCACCCTGTCCCTTAGAGCATTGTCCAAATGTTCCTGGAGCTCTGGTTCAAACCCTGGGGATCCTGTTCTAGTCCCTGTCCCAGCCCCTATCCCAGTCCCTGTTCCAGTCCCTATTCCAATCCCTATTCCAGTCCCTATTCCAGTCCCTATCCCACTCCCTATCCCAGTCCTTATTCCAATCCCTATCCCAGTCCCTGTTCCACTCCCTACTCCACTCCCTATTCCAATCCCTGTCCCAGTCCCTATCCCAGCCCCTGTCCCAGTCCCTGTCCCCATCCTGAGCTGCCTCATCCAGGTTCCTCAGGATTGTCTCTCCCTGACCCAAACCACCCCCCCTCAGCAGGAAAACATTCAATCCACGAGTCAAGCCGGGTCCTGAGGGAGAAATCTGGGAAGAGCCCAGCTCTGTTTGGACACAGCACTGGGATATTCTCCTTTATGGGCTCAGAGCAGCTGCAAATCCAGCCCCTGGCATTAATTTATGTAATTTTATACACACAAAAATATAATAAATGAAAGTATGTTATATGGAATGACACAAAATTAATATAATACATAAAAATAGATAATATATTAGAATATAATAAATATTACATTAATAAAATCAATGACAAAATATATAATAATATATAAAATATATCATATTAATGTAATTAATATAATATATAGCAGTATTTTAATATACGTGAATATAAAATTAAGAGCATGTATTAGATATAAAATTACACAATATATATTGTAATATATTAATATATTAATGCATGTATAAAATACAATATATTAATGTATTAACATATTAATATACTAACATATTAATATATCAACATATTAATACATTAATAATAATTAGTGATCTAGTATATTGTAATATACGAATGTATATTATATTAATAAAAGTAATATAAGCCATAATATAACATAGAATTTATAATGCATTACATATTATTAATAATATAATAACTATTATATATATTTTATATATATGTAACTATTATAACTATATATATAACTATATATATATATAAACTATATATATATATATAAAGAAATATATATATATGTGTGTGAACAAATAGAAACCAATATAATCCTGTCAGTCCCTGGGCATGAATTCCAAGCTCTGATGGGTTTGGTGCCTCCAAATCCCACCCAAGGCAGCTCTTCCCGCTCGTTTCCCCGCAGGACAAACCCGGTGATGGTGCCCAGTTTGGGGCCAAGGAGTTTCCCAGGAGTTTTTCCAGCCCCACAGGAGTTTCCAGCCCCGCAGGCTTTTCCTTATGGGATGTGGACGGTGCCAAAGGACCCTCCCGGACCCCTCCTCATCCCAAACTCTCAATCCCTCTCTCCCGGCGCTGTGGGAGTGGCCCCTTTCCCTCTGGGGGTTCAGCTTCCCAAGGGGAAGATCCCGCAGCCAGAGCCTTCCCGAGCACCTCCCCCAGACAGAACCCCCACCCCGACCTGCCCTCCATGCCAGCCCCCACACAACCGGCGGCCTCTCCTGCCCCTCGTTCCTCTCCCCCATCCCGGGGTCCCTCCCCATCCCAGGCCCCACTCCCGGACCTGCCGCCACCTTCCCCTCGCCACTTCCGGGTTCTTCCCCGCCCGCCGCCGCCCCGCCCCTCCAGCCTCGCTCCCGCCGGCCAATCCGGAGCCGCCGCCACATCCGGGCAACGCCGCCTCCCCCCCCCCCGCGCTTCCGCCCTCACTGCCCTCAGCGCGACGTCAGCGTGGTGACGTCACACTTAAAGGGGCAGCGCAGCGCCCTCGACTCCGGCCCAGCCCAAAACTGGCCCTTCTGACCCCAAAGGGGCCTTTCTGACCCCAAAATTGACCCTTCTGACCCCAAAACCGGCCCTTCTGACCCCAAAACTGGCCCTTTTGACCCCAAAATTGGCCATTCCCACCCCAAAACCGGCCCTTCTGATCCCAAAAACCAGCCTTTCTTGCCCCAAAACTGGCACTTCTGACCCCAAAACCGGTCCTTGTTGCCCCAAAACCAGCCCTTCTGACCCCAAAACTGGCCCTTCTTGCCCCAAAACCGGCCCTTCTGTCCCCAAACTGAGCCCTTCTGTCCCCAAACTGGCCTTTCTGACCCCAAACCGGCCCTTCTGACCCCAAAACCGGCCTCTTGTTGCCCCAAAACCGGCCCTTCTGACCCCAAAACTGGTCCTTCTTGTGCCAAAACTGGCCCTTCTGACCCCAAAACTGGCTCTTCTGACCCCAAAACCGGCCCTTCTGACCCCAAAACCAGTCCTTCTCACCCCCAAACCAGCCTTTCTGACTCCAAACCAGCCCTTCTTGCCTCAAAACTGGCCCTTCTGACCCCAAAACCGGCCCTTCTTGCCTCAAAACTGGCCCTTCTCACCCCAAAACCGGCCCTTCCCACCTCAAAACTGGCCCAACAGCCCCGAGCTGAGCCTTCCAGGCTCCTCAGGGAGGAATTTCCCAGGGGGAAAATCACGGCCCCACCACACAGGTCTGACACACTTGCAGAGGTTTTTACTTCAGCAAAAACCAGTGAAAAGCAGAGAAAATAAAATAAAATAAAATCCTGTATTTTCAGGCCAAATCCTCTTTCTTGTCGTATCATGGAGGACACCAAGAAAAGCCCTTTTGGATGGAGGTTAAGGGGGTGCTCCTTTGGGATTCTCCCAGTCCTTGTTTATCCCCCACATCCCCTCTGGGAGTGGAGTTCTGGTGTAAAAGAGTAAAAAAAATTCCCTGTGAGATCCATAAAAAACATCAGGAGGGGTGGAGAGAGAGAGGAAAGAGAGGAAAATGGAAAACTGCAGAGCCCTGCTGAGCTGAGCTGGCAGTTCCAGCCCCTCATTCCCGCTGTTCCAGCCCCTCATTCCCGCTGTTCCAGCCCCATCCCGGCGCTCCCTGGGGCAGGGCTGAGTCCATGGCCGGGCTGTTGGGGTGTCAGGACGTTCCCTGCTCCGTCCCCGCGTGTTTCCTGCGCCGGTGCCGGCGTCTCCTGGCGGGTGTGGCCTCCTGGGAGCGCTGGGAATTCTGGGGGTGGGGGCAGGAGAGTCCCTTGGGTGCCCCCCAACAGTTCCTGGGGGCCAGGCTGCTCATCCTCCTCTGCTCCTCCTGCCCCAAATCCAGGGGGTTTGCCGGGGCCTTGGGGCGGGGCTGGTGCTTCCTCTTGGCCCTGCCAGCATTCCTGGAAGGAAAAGAATTAAAAAAAATCAGGAATCAGCCCAATTGAACCCCAACAAGGGAGGGTTGTGAACCCCCTGAGGGCTCAACCAGTGCCTGGTCCTGAAAGGGGGGACATCCAGGAAGAACGCCCAGCTCAAGGGAAAATGGGGTGGGAAAGGGAGAAAAGGGGGGGAAAAGAGGGTGAAAGTGGGAGAAAATGAGGCAGAAATGGGGAAAAAAATGGGAAAAATGGTGTTAAAATGGGTATAAAGTGAGTCTCTGGGGACATGGGGCCCTGCTGGGCCTGGAATGGGGGGAAAACAGGGAAAAATGGGAAAAATTTGGGGGAAAATGGGGTAAAAGGGAAAAAAATGAGGTGAAAATGGGGGGAAAATGGGAAAAAACAGGGAGGGGAAATGGGGAAAAAAGGGGGAAAAACTAGGGAAAAACAAGGGAAAGAAAGGGAAAGAAAGGGAAAGAAAGGGAAAGAAAGGGAAAGAAAGGGAAAGAAAGGGAAAGAAAGGAAAAGGAAAGAAAGGGAAAGAAAGGGAAAGAAAGGGAAAGAAAGGGAAAGAAAGGGAAAGAAAGGGAAAGAAAGGGAAAGAAAGGGAAAGAAAGGGAAAGAAAGGGAAAGAAAGGGAAAGAAAGGGAAAGAAAGGGAAAGAAAGGGAAAGAAAGGGAAAGAAAGGGAAAGAAAGGGGGAGGAAAAAGGGGAGAAAAAAGGGGAGGAAAAAAAAGGGGGGAGGAAAAAAAAGGGGGGAGGAAAAAAAAGGGGGGAGAAAAAAAAGGGGGGAGGAAAAAAAAGGGGGAGGAAAAAAGGGGGGAGGAAAAAAGAAGGAAAAAGGGGGAGGAAAAAGGGGGAGGAAAAAGGGGGAGGAAAAAAAAAGGGGAGGAAAAAGGGGGAGGAAAAAAGGGGGGAGGAAAAAAAAAAAAGGGGAGGAAAAAAAAAGGGGGAGGAAAAAAAGGGGAGGAAAAAAAGGGGAGGAAAAAAAAGGGGAGGAAAAAAGGAGGAAAAAAAAAGGGGGAGGAAAAAAAAGGGGAGGAAAAAAAAGGGGGGAGGAAAAAAAAGGGGGGAGGAAAAAAAAGGGGGGAGGAAAAAAAAGGGGGGAGGAAAAAAAGGGGAGGAGGAAAAGGGAGGGGGAAACAAGGGAAAAAAACCAGGAGGAAATGGAAAAAAAGGAAGAAATGGGCTGAAAATCAGGGGAGAAAGGGAAAAACCCTCCTGATTTCCCCCAGCAAGGGAAGTTCCCAGCAGGGAACATTTCCCACGCCCCTCAGAGCAGGGCTGGCCAAGCCCTGGCTCCACAGGTGGAGAACATTCCAGCCCCACTGGGGACCTCCCCACTGCCACAGTGACCATTCCAGGGACAAACAAACACCTACCTGGGCACTGCCAGGGGGGGCTGGGCCGATCCAGGCAGGGGGGCTTTGACAGAACACCCAAGCTGCTTTGGGGGGTGTTCTGGGGCGCTGCTTTTTTCTCTGAAGGGGCCTGAGCTCGAACTCTTCAGTCCACACTTCCTTCAAGAGAATTCTGGATGTTCCTGTGCCCACTGAGGGATCTCATCAGCTCCCCCCCCACACCCCAAACACCACCCCCTCCCTTGGGCTGGAAAGGGAAGGGCCAAGGGAAAGAAAAGGAAAGAAAAGGATCTTTAAAGCCATCCCAGAATCCCAGAATGGGTTGGGTTGGAAGGGATCTTAAAGCCCACCCAGTGCCACCCCCTTCCACCTTCCACCAGCCCAGGCTGCTCCAACCCGGCCTTGGACACTCCCAGGGATCCTGGGGCAGCCACAGCTTCTCTGGGAATCCCACCCCAACCCCTCCCCACCCTCCCAGGGAAGAATCCTTTCCCAATATCCCATCTAACCCCACCCTCTGTGAGTTTTAGACCATTCCCAATGTCCTGTTCTCCCCGCCCATTCTCCCACCTCCCTTCCTGGAGCCATCCACTTTATCCCCCTATTCCTTTCCAGCAGCATTCCCAGGGGCCCAGCACTCACTTCTGGACACACCAGGACTCACTTTTTCCCAGCTCTGTTCCTGAGATCCTGGATGTAGTTGCTTCTCTCTATGGGATGCCCTCGGGATTTGTTGAACACTGCAGAGGTGGGGACAGGACAGGTCTGAGTCACGAGTTTTGGGGCTTCACAAGGATTTTAACCCCTTCAAGCAAGCACAGCTGCCCTCCCTGCAGCCACCCCAAACCTTCAGGAGACACCCCAAATTCCCCCCCCCATCCAATCCAGAGCCCACACTCACACTCTATGGCAGCGTTGGGCTCCATGCCTTCCACATCAATCAGGTACCTGAGCAAGAAAACCCTGATTAAACCCAATTAACAAGGGAAAAACAAACAGCTCGGGGGTGATTCCAACAGCAGGAAGAGCTGGGAGGTTGGCAGAGCTTTTATTTAGGTGCCAGGCTGGGGTAGCAGCATCTGCTGTGCTGAAATTGGGGTAAAAAGTGACAGCCTGTGGAGGGCTGGGATTACACAGATCACCTGACTCTGCTTCCTTGGCATTGTTTCCTCCTGGAAATGCCCCCCCTGAACCCCCTGTGACGAGGACAACTCACCTGCACACCAGGTAGCCAGTCCTGTTCAAGCCATGGGTGCAGTGAACCCCGATGAGTTTGTCTGCAACACCCAAACAGGAGGATGTTTGAGTTCCCCTTTCCCCCCAAATCCCCCCCAGAACCAGCCCCTCTGCACTAACCCCTCCATCAGGCACCAATAAACTGCCACACTCAACATCCCATCACCATATTTACACCTAATTATGTGTAATTTATTTATTAATGTTTACTTTTACCTTCTCTTGCCGACTGTTATTTATTTATTGTGTCCAATTTTATTTATGTCAACCTCTTGCCTCGACATTCCCAAGCCCAAGGGAAGGGAAAAGAAGTCCCTGCTGCCCCCTAAAACCCCAGCACTGGGACAGCAGGGACAGCCACGCTCACCATTGTCCTTGTTGTCGTTCAGGAACTTCTTCACCACGCACTTGAACTGGAAAATGGTCTGTTTGTTGGGGATTTCGTGCCCCATGGTCAGGATCTTCGAGTAGCAGAGCGTGGCTGGGAGCTCCTGCGAGGAAGGACAGCCCATCATTTCCAGGAAAAAAAAGGTTTTAAAAAATTAATTAATGAACCAGAAGCCCAGAAAATGAGATTTTCCGATTGAGCAGCAACACAATTTTGGGTTAAAACCCCTCTGCTTCGCTCCTTTGACACAGCACCAAATTCCCACGTTATTTTTCCCGCCTCCCTTTGCTCCCTGGGGAGGGCACCCAGAGGCTGGAACGCTTTTCCAAGCCGTTTTCCACATGCCCAGAGCCGTTTCCAACCAGGAGATCCCACAAAAAAACAGCTTTAGGGCAGCCCCAAACTCGTGCTGGTTCCCCAGGGTGGTCCCTGAGCGAGGACAAAGACCCCCCGTGGGGTTCCAATGGTTCATCTCAGCCCCTGCCAGAGATCCCAGCGCCTCCCACTCTTCCAATTCCCCTCCTGGAAGCAAATCCTGCCCGTCCCCAGCCCCACCTCTGGCCCGTAGTAGCGCCGGGTGTAGGTGAGGTCGATGATCAGCCCCAGCTCCTCCTTCCTCTCCCTGATTTTCCTGAGGAGGTCGTGGGGAGAAAACCTTTCCTCTGGAGAGAGATTCCTGTCAAAACTCTGAGGGGAAACCGCGTTTCAGAGCAGGCTTTAAACTCCCTCCCTGAAACCCCATTAAGTGCCCCTTTCCCGGGGCTGTTCCCCCCCACCTTAGAGCCGGGGGGTCCCTCACCTTCTTCAGAGGCACCTTGAAGGCGATGAAGCGCGTTCCTGGGATCCTCCTGCCCAGGGGGATGTAGTCTGTCCACCTGGATCGGGGCACGGGGTGGGTTAAACTGAGGGAGAGACCCTCAGGCCTGGGACCCACGAACAGCTCCAGGCCCGGGACCCTCCAAGCCCCCGGTTTGAGGCTCTCCAACCCTTCCAGACCCAGCGGCCCGCGGGCCCCACAGCCCCCCTGTCCCTCAGGCGTGGCCGCCGGGGCCGGGCAGGGCCGCACTCACCGCTCGGGGACCCGGGACGCCATGATGGCGATGGCGCTGCGTCACTTCCGCTCTCACCCCGCCCCTCGCGCGGGCACAGCGAGGCCACGCCCATGACGAAGGCCACGCCCCGCAGCGCTGAGACCACGCCCATAAGTGTGAGGCCACGCCCATGGTGTGAGGCCACGCCCATGGATGGAAAGGATACGCCTATACGCTGTGAGGCCACGCCCCCCGCGGCGCTGCGGGGCTCTGGCGCCGCCTAGCGGTCACGGGTGGGAGTGACAGCGGTGGGACGGGACAGGGAGAGGGACAGGGATAGGGAGAGGGACAGGGACAGGAAGAAGGACAGGGACAGGGAGAGGGACTGGGACAGGGATAGGGACTGGGAGAGGGAGAGGGACAGGGAGAGGGACAGGGAGAGGGACAGGAACAGGAAGAGGGACAGGGAGAAGGACAGGGAGCTGTACAGAGACAGGGAGAGGGAGCGGAACAGGGAGTGGGACCTGGAGCAGAAGCAGCACCAGGACCTTGACTAGGACCTGGAGTAGGACCAGAACTGGGGACAGAAGTAGGACAGAAGAGCAGGACCAGAACCAGGACCAGGATAGGACTGGCACCAGGACCTCCTGCTTTTCCAGCCAAGCCTGTAATTAGTGCTCAGCCGAGGAGCAGAAGCCGGCCCTGGGAAGGAGCTGTGATTGCCTTGGATGTGGGACAGGGACTGGCTGAGCCTGGAAAACTCATCTCACACCTGGCCAGTGAGTGGGCATTGCCAGAACCAGGACCAGGACTGGGACTGGAATCAGGACCAGGACCAGCATCACCAGCCCAGAACCAGATCCACCATCAGTGCCCTGGTACCAACATCACCCTTCCAGCACCAGAACCAGCATCACTTCTCCAGAATTCGTACCTGCATCAATGTCACTGTCCAGTGTACAGTGTCACCACCCCAGAACCAGCACCAGCACCACCACTCCAGTACCAGCATCACTGCCCCAATACCAATATCACCACCCCAGTACCAGCACCACTGTCCCAGCACCAGCACCCCAGTTCACCCCAGCACCAGCATCACAACCCCAGGACTGGCATCCCCACCCTGCACCAGCACTGGTACCACCATCCCTGACTCCATCCCAGTATCCTCAGTACTGTCATCCCCACCCCTTGCTGGTCCTGGCACTCCCAGCATCAGCATTCCCTACCCCATTCTGGCACCAGCATCCCTGGAACTGGCATCTCCAGCCCATCCCCAGTACCCACAACTCCAGTACCAGCATCCCCCATCCCACCAGCAATGGGAAACCACCACGGGAATGGGAAATCATGGTGGAGACTGGAAATCATTGTGAGAATGGAAAATCATGGTGGGAATGGGAAATCGTGGCAGGAATGGGAAATCATGGGAATGGGAAATCGTCATGGGCATGGGATTCATGGTGGGAGTGGAAATCGTGTTGGGAATGGGAAATCATCACTGGCATCCCCATCCCCACCCCAGTGTGGGCAGCCGAGGCTGCTTTGCCATGCACAGACACACATATAAATGTACCATGCTGACATCCCAGGCTTTCCTGACCCTGGGAATTTTGTCCCGGCATGGGGACCCAGCCCAGCCAGGGCAGGATTTTCCAGTCCTCAGCACCCCACTCCCAAGAGGGTGGTGGGGAGCAACTCCCTGTGCCCAGCCTGGAAAAACCGTGCCGGCACCTCCAGCTGGGAGCAGAGCCCCTTTTCCAGAGGGAGGGGAAGCACGGGGATTAGCATCCACGCCGGGAAGGGCCGGTTGGACCCGCCCGGCCGAGCAGGGTCCCGGCTCCGGGGGTGCCCCGGGGCCGTCTGGGCACAGGGGGGCTGCTCCCCCCCCAACGGGAGATCAGGTTAAACCTCCTGCTTTTCCAGCCGAGCCTGTAATTAGCGCTCGGCCGAGGAGCAGGAGCCGACCCTGGGAAGGAGCTGTGGCTGCCTCGGGGTGTGGGACCGGGACTGGCTGAGCCTGGAAAACTCATCTCACACCCTGGCCGGCGAGTGGGCATTGCCAGCTGGGGCCCAACATCCCTTTCCATGTGTTCCCCCCTGTTTTCCCCTCTCTTTGCTACCCCAGGTCTCGGGATGCTTTTCCAAAAGGTGATTCTGCCACACAGGGACCCCACCCACAGATGAAGATCCCCTCACGAGGGCTTTTCCACCCCCAGAGGGATGCCCAGATCCCAAATCCCCCCTTCCAAGGTGGCTGTGACAGCGACAATCACCCTCCAGCCCGAGCACAGGGGGTTCACCACCCCCTACCCCTCTTTGCCACCAGTTTTGGGAAAGAGGGGCGGGGAGGACAGGACACAGCGGGGACCCCGCGGCGGTGACTCAGGGATGCCGGGGGGAGTGGGAGGGTTGCGAAACAGGCCCGGGATGGTTTGGGAGACGCCTCCACGCAGCCCCGCCAAGCCCAGCCGCCCCGGGGAGCCCATCGGGGGAACAAGCCACGGCAGCGTCTGGGCTGTGCGCGGCGGCCGACCCGTCAGGCAGGTTTCCCGGGGCAGGAGCCGAGCCTGGAGAGAGCCGTCCAGGAGCCGGGAATGCCCCTCCGCCCGCTCGCAGGCTGACGGAGCCCCCCGGCTGTCTCCTCTCGCCGCCGGAGCCATGCGGGCGGCCGGGCTGCCGCTGGCCCGGGTGTTGCTGGTGGCCTGGGCACTGCTGCACCCCGCGGGCACCCAGCAGTGTCACCCCGCCGGCCCTGCCACCGTCCTGCGCTTCACCGACCGCCACGCCGAGATCCGGGTGCCGGCGCTGCACCGAGTGCCCAGCCCGCTCGACCCCCTCTACGGGCTCGTCCGGCGCTGCCTGGACCTCATCCAGCAGAACCCCCTGCCCACGGGTGAGTCCTGAGCCCGGGGAGCCGGGACCCCACTGCTGAGGGTGTCGGGACCCCACTGCTGAGGGTGCAGGGATCCCATTGCTGTGGGTGCAGGGATCCCACTGCTGAGGGTGTCGGGATCCCACTGCTGTGGGTGCAGGGATCCCAGGGTTTTTCCCGTGTCCGGAGCTGCTCCAGGGGTTCTGAGCCACTCCACGGAGGAGGACGTTGCCTCCATCCCGGTGCTGCTGCCTCGGGAAGGTTGGGGGAGCATGGGGTGGGACCTGTTTCACCAGTGCCGTGATTTATTTTGCAGAGTTGCTCCGGGCAGCCCTGAACGACCCCGGATCAGTGCGGACATCGCAGGTGAGCCGGGATGTGGGACGGCAGATCCCACGGGAGCGTTATCCACCCGGGACGGGGCACGTGGGCGCACGGAGCACCCCAAACTCGGTGTCCCAGTACCGACGAGGCTCTCCCGTCACGCAGGTGGTGCAGTACGAGCTGGGCTATGTGGTCTGTGCCGCCGTGGCCCTGCTCTTCACCGTGGCCGTGCCGGTGGCCGGGATGTGCTTCTGCTACTGCCGGAGCCGCCGGCGCTGCGGGGGCCGCCTCCGAGCCCACCGGCGCTCGCTGGGCTGCCGGCGGCACTGCCTGCTGGCCTGCCTGTCCTTCACCTCCCTCGTCATCCTGTGAGTCCCCCGGAACGCCCCGCGTGTTGTGGGGAGGGAGGGGAACCGTGTCCTGCGGGGCAGCGCCCTGACCGCCCGCTCATCCCCGGCAGGATCAGCGTCACCTGCGCCTTTGTCACCAGCCAGCGGGTCAAGGGGCAGATGGAGCCGGGGCTGGGGGCTGTGCCGACCACCCTGCGCACGCTGCGGCAGCACCTGGCCAACGTCCCCCAGGTGGGTCCCCGGGCGGCCTCGCCCCCGGCACAGGGCGCTGCCCGGAGGTGGCCGCGCTTCCCTCAGGGAAAGTGGTTTGGGAGGCGAGAGGAGGTGACGCGGCTGCATTAAAAATGCTTTGTGAATGGCCAGCGCGGGGCTTCCTCCCCTCCCCGCGGCTGTTCCCCCCCCGGGCTGAGCGGCTCCTCTCTCCCGGCAGGGCGTGCAGATGGTGGTGGACAAGTTCGAGGTGCCCCGCAAGCAGATAATCTCCGATTTGGGCGGTAAGCGCCGCGCGGAGCACCGGGCAGGGCGCACCCCGAGCTTCCCACGGGGATGCTGACGGGGCTCCCGGTGCCTTGCAGGCCTCAGCCGGAGCGTGGGGCTCTCCATCCACTCACAGCTCAAGGCCATGACCTACGCGGCGCTCTCAGACCTGCAGGACAGGGCTGCAGGTACGGCCGGAGCGCGGCTCCACCGGGGGGAACCGGGGTGGCCGAGCCTCCGGAGCAGCGTGAACTAGCCCTGGGCTTTCTCTTTAAGACCTACAGACCTCGCTGCACCATTTACAGATTCTCGACGGGACCTCGCGGGCGCTGGCGGCGGCGCGGGCCGAGCTGGAGCCGGCGCTGCGGGAGCGGCGGGGCAGGGTGGTCGCGCTGCTCGACGACCCCCGCTGCACCTCCTGCGCCAGCGCCCTGGGCAGGGCACAGAGCCTGGAGCTGGGCGCTGACTACGGCAAGGTGGGACGGGGCGATGGGCACCCACCACCTCCTGGGGCTCACGGGTTTTTGCTTCGGGTCCAGAGAAGGGCAATGAGGCTGGGGAAGGGGCTGGAGCACAAGTGCTGGGAGGAGCAGCTGAGGGAGCTGGGAGGGCTCAGCCTGGACAGGAGGAGGCTCAGGGGGGACCTTCTCACTCTCTGCAACTCCCTGACAGGAGGGGGAGCCGGGGGGGTCGGGCTCTGCTCCCAGGAACCAGCAGCAGGACAAGAGGGCACAGCCTTGAGCTGCCCCAGGGGAGGTTTAGGTTGGACATTGGGAAGAAGTTCTTGCCAGAGAGAGTGATCAGTCACTGGAAGGGGCTGCCCAGGGAGGGGGTGGAGTCCCCATCCCTGGAGGGGTTTGAGCAGAGCCTGGATGTGGCATCAGTGCCATGGGCTGGGTGACAAGGTGGGGTCAGGTCACAGGTTGGACTCAATGATCTCAAGGGTCTTTTCCAGCATCTGTAATTCTGTGATTCTTCCACCCCAAGGTGCCATCAGTGGAGAAGGTTTTGAAGGCCATGGCCGGGCTACCCCGAAGCGACTTTGCAGAGATGATTCACCAGGTTTGGGGGGGGGGTC